GATTTTGGGGTTTATTTGTATTCAGTGGAGGCATTTTGAGAAGAATTGAACAACTCCCCTCCTTCGGAAGAGAAGTATGAACCCCTTAAATTTCTTCCCCATACTACTGGACTGAGACAGTGAAATAACATTTCAGTTCCCCTATGTGTCATGTCTTAAACCAGGTCTGAGGTTGAGAAGATGTGCAAAGATTCAATCAGCAGAGCTGTTGTTGTGTGAAAGACATTAACAGAGCTGGTAGTCCAGTACTTCTTTGATTTCTCATAAGACAGGAGAGAAAAGACCCAGTTTACTACTTCGAAAGTCAACATTTTAAAACCATTTTTATATGCCACCACTTTCAAAAGCTAACCCAAATCTACAGAGTGACTACAGAATCCATTCCAAGGATTCCTTAGATCCCTTAACCCAGCTGTGAAGTGTAACTTTCGGCTGCTCTTGACACACAGCCTGCTGCAGACAGAAGTTAACAAAGGGCAGATTTCCTCATTAGAGCCACCATGCAGTTAGTGCATCATGGTGCTTAACTCTGATTGAATGAGGCACAACTGAGAAGGCAACAAGAACACTTAGAGGTGTTTAAGATCTTATTCATGTTAGTCTAATGCAGTCATATCAGGGATAATATTTATTCTGGGTTATGGCCAGATGACAATGTAATAGCCCCATTTGGGCAGTCTAGACCTTTAATATATGATAAACACTTCCTCAGAATATATAATGTACTAAAAAAAACACATACACAGTGCATGCTTGTATCTAGTAGAAATGCTCTCTAGCCAAAACAGAAGAGTGAATAGCTTTCCCAGCATATGGGATTAATACTCCCAGAAAAAGAATAAAAAGCTTGAACAATAATTTGCCTGATTTATAAATGTGACAGTATTAAGAAATGAGGAGGAACCCAAACTTTCCAGAATGCCCTAAGGGAAAGTAAAATGTGAAGTATTGTTTTCTTTAGAGAAAAGCTCAGTGCCAAAGCTTTGGTGGCAGGATGCTAATTTGTTTTCAATAGGCAGGTCTGATTTCTTCAGTGTTTCCCTTTTTCCCCATCTCATCACCTAAAGGCCTAGAATATGAAAGGGCAGACAAGTCTAGGAGGATTTACATGTTATAGCACATCAGTCATCAAAGGAACATTGAACACTGATCATTTTTCTTCCAACTCCACATCATGATAAAGATATTTTGCTTTCCAAGTATGTATAAAGTGTTTAATGTTCTGTTCATAAGAGGTAGAATTCTAGAATAACTTATTAAAGCCTTCAAAACAGGACCAGAACAAACAAAAAAAAAGAGAGAAATTATTGCTTCAGGTAAAACCCAAGCCAGCTTTGATTCAGCTTTGATTCAGCTTTTATCAAAGCTAACTTTGCTTATAACCACATCTGTAAACCCAGAAAGCACTACAGACATTCAGGCACATGAGTGGAGTGAGAAGTGGAAGGGGTTAGGGTGAAGCTCACAAGCACGTCAGTTACAGGTCTAGAAAAGGTACGTGTCCTCCTAGCAGAATGCGTGGAAATATTCCTTGCTTGTGCAGAAGGGATCACCCACAGAATCACCAGAATCACCCACAGAGCTCCCAACCAAGTGGGGAGGCAAGCCCGGGATGGCAGCAGCCTCCTCCTCTCTCTGCTGAGGATGCATTTCATGCTGCTCTCTGAGCACTCAGTGTTACAATTTTGAGTGCAAATTTTACACCAAGCATGAATTACAACTCCTTGAAGTCAATCTGTCATGCTCATCCAAATCTAAGTCAGAAATTTGTCAACTAAGAAATGTGGGCAGCACGCAAAGCAGAATATGATAGAGAATGATGAAAACTCAGTTATCTGCTAATGAAGTGGATTTGTGTTGTTACCTGAAAAACTTTCAGAGAAAAAAACATTCAACACTTTCAAAATTCAAGATTGTTACAGGAAAAAAATCCCCAAATGTCTGAAAAACAGATGAAGAAACAAATGTCTTCTCATCTGCATAATCAAAAAAAGGTGAGAGAATAAATCCATATGATTTTAGCAATGAACTTCCCTCATCTGGTCTGTGCTTCAGAGTAAGACAAAATTACAAAATTTAGAAGAAAATGCAGCATCGGCATGTAGAGAAATTCCTGATTTTGGCAGTCAGATGAACACAGTTGAAGAACTTGGTTTATATTGCTCTCAAGATTCTCAGCAAAATGATGTATTCTTCTTTACAACTAGAATCTTGCTACATATAAGTAGCATTAATTAGGTTCATAACAGTAGCACATGTAGTATATATATATAGAGATAAGAGTATTCTAGGCAGTGGTTGGGCTGGTCACAGGGGCTGCTGGGCTGGCTTTAGCCTTTCTTTGTTAGCAGGAGCTAACATAAAGAACTGTTCTTTATGCTATCCTCTTACCTGAAATAAGAATGACCTCCAAACAAAAATTCAGATTGATACCACTGCCCAAACCAAGACACACACAAGTCCACTCAGGGATCTGTACCATGTGGGTAAGGAGATTTCACTGTGCAAGGCTCTTGTACACTTGATTACACTTGTGCACACTTGACAGCAGAAAAATACAGAGAGAAGCAAAAAGGAATGTGGCCATGAAGAAAAAAAGGAAACTCCTGGGGATAGGGAGTAACCAGCAAAAAATACAGAAAGGATCAAAAAGGAATGTGGCCATGAAGAAAAAAGGGAACTCCTAGGGATAGGGAATAACCAGCAGAAAAGAGTCTGCATTTATTTTTCTGTATGGATGGCACTAGGAATACCTGCTTGCATTATCAATTTCTACTCTGATAAAAGACTAGAGTGAAAAATAAGAATAGTCTTATAGACACAGGACATGCAACTGTGCCATTGTGGCCATTCAGTAATGAACGCTGGTGCTTTCTTACTCTGTGTTAAGGGCGTGTAGTCTCCACAATTCTTGGTCTAGGCAGGTATTACAGCTATGAAAAGCAATTGCAACAGCACACCACAAGACATTTGAGAAATCCCTGCTCTGCCTTTGCAATTCTGCCTTTGGGAGTTGTGCAGAACTGAGGCAATGGGCACAGACTACCCCAAACAGAGACTCCTCCATGGGATAACTCTTGTATGAAGAGTTTAGAGGGCCAATTAATAACTGAAGGTCACTGAAGATGCCCTGGGACAACAATTGGTTCACCAAAGGCCACAAAGACTAGTAGCAGCCTAAAGCCATTGGAGGTTCAACCCTGCAATTTGTATGACTGGGTCAATTTAGGTCAACCCTTGGGTTTCCAAACAGAACACTAAACTGGATTTGAAATAGCGACCACTACAGCCTCCAAAAGCTACTTCTCTAAAGCTTATCCAGAGGAAGGTTTGACAAAATCACTGTTACCCTACTGTGAAATAACTCTTATTCTGCCCCAAAACATTAATATCTCTACTTCCTCCCAAATCACTCTTATGAAGGTTAATCAAGAATGTAGGATGAGTTACGTTCAACAGACAGAATTTCTTTGATATTTTAAATCCCTCCTGGCTTCTTAAAAAGGACTTCTATTTTAGTGACAGAATAACTCTTTACCTGGAGGCTAACACCCAATGAAATTCACGTTCAAAATCCCCCAGTTAAGATCATTGCGATGAATGAGCAAATTAAAGCAACACAATAAGCTCTCATTCCTTGTTTCCTCTTTCTTGCTTGGATCCACACTGATTTCAGAAACAAAATTTCAGTTTGCAAAACTACAAAAGGATCTGCTGAAACATGCCCATTCCTTCAGAATTTCTTCCTTATGCATTTACTGTGTGATTCCTCCTAGTATTTTGGTAAATAAATACCTTATACTAAAAATATTCTTCTTGACAGATCATACATGAGATGTATCTTGGAAACTCCCCATATCAGTTGATGTCAGGCATTGGAACACGCTGCCCAGACAAGTGGTGAAACCACCACCTCTAGAAGTGTTAGAAAAATTTGTAGATGTGGCACTTAAGGATATTGTTTACTGGTGAAGATGGCAGTGCTGAGTTAACAGTTGGACTCAATGATCATGGAGATCTTTTTCAACCTTAATAATTCTATGATTCTGTACCCCTTGTTTCAGTGTTATGAGAGGGCAAAGGTAGGAAATTAGTTTTCTTCTGTTTATTTGGTCTAAGGTTTTCTTTAGCCAGCGGGATAGGAAACAATCAAACCACTGTGCACATGGCTGTAGTTCCAGGTAAAAAGGCACTTTGGCTTTCCTTTTGGTTTTCTTTCTATATGTTAAAAAAAACCACAAAAACCTTCAAAAAAGAAATTACAATATTTAACCTATAAACAGGTTAAAGCTTTTGTAGCCTGTTCTAAACAAATGTTGCTGTACCATATAAAGACTTGCAGAGCTTGGGCAGCAACCTGACCCACCAGCCAGCTGTGATCTAACAGAATTGTTCCCCATTTCTGCACTGATGCCATCTTATCCAAGTACCTCTCAGATGAAGGCAAGGAAAGGGATGTGTGAGCTGTGGCAGCCTGGGACTGGCTCTGTGGTACCCTGCTTCTTTAGGGATACCTCCTCTCCCCTCACAGGACTGAGACATCTCTGTACTTGTCATAAAAGGCAGAAGGAGCTACACCATCCATCACTGCTCATGTGGCCTGCTCCAGCAGAAAGATGAGATGTCTGTGGATTTGGGTAATACATGCTTAAGACAGTATGTGTTTTGCTGAATTTTGTGCAGTTTTCTGAATAACATACATATAAAAGAAACACATTGTCACTGGAGAGTCACTGCAGACAAACAAGGCATTCTATCTTAACAAATCTCATTTCATTCCAACATTTGGGGAAAATATTTTAAGATTAAACAGGCTTTCTCTTGCAATTCAGTGGTATGAATAGCAAATTTCACTTTCCGTCAGCACACCTGCTAGGCACTATGCAAATCACAAATGACTGTGCAGAATTCAGGCTTGGACATATCAGAAATCAAAAGAAGTGTTCTCTGATAACAAAAGCTCCAAAAAGATCTAGGAAATACCATAGCATGATTCTTTGTGTGTTGTTCAAACACCCACTATATTTATCTTAAATATATTTAATGAAAACTAAGACCTACTCTTGGCCAACTACACTGAAACAGCTTCCTTCAATTTTTATGAACCACCAAAGAAAATTTACTAACATGCACTGGAAATGGGAGCTCTGATTAAAGCAAAGAATAATCTCCAGTTCCTCATGCAGATGGAGATAAAAGCTTGATGTACTGTAATAGATATTAAACTCAGTATCAGCAGTAAAACAGCCTGCATTGCAGCTTGGAAATCAGAAACCCTTGATGTTGTTCTGTGTGAAACACCATCCTAGAAGAAGCACCATGACAGCAAGCTTTGGACTTTTTCCATGGAAAATCAACGTTCCTTTGGAATAGTATGATGGACTCTGAAATTCTTTATACAAGAATACGAACACATTCAGTTAACCTACAGCAGCTCAGTTAACCACCTTCAAATCTAAAGGCAAAGAGCTAGAAAGATGAGTGAATAAAAGTGGAGTAAGAATTAGATACAATGTGCTTATTGTCTTTTATTGATCTCATTTTTTACATGACTAAGCAGACACAAAATTTTCATTTATTTCCTGAGGAAGCATTTAATTTATGCAATTTGTCAGACCACAAAGTGCATCTCTTTGCAGTAAATTTACTCCTTTTGCTTTGTTTGCTTGCTCTCTGCAAGTCCCAAGAGCACTGCATCAGCTTCCAGCAATGTTGTATCACTGGCTGCCCCCAAAAACCTGGATGTCAGTTCAAGATCCAGCAGTCTCAGGCGTACCCGGGTTCCTCTCCGATATTTTCTGTGAAGAAAAGGGGAGAGGGGGAAGAAGGTAAGTTTTGTTAAACATTGGTCTTGCATTTCCTAAGGCTCTCTCCTCTCTGCAGATCTCAGCCCCACAGAAAACAAAGGGCAGCAATGAAGCCCAGTGCTTCTGTAATATCAGCACTAAAACTGCTGGGACACACTCCGTACCACCACAGAGCCAGTCCTGCTGATACAATCCTGCCCATCGAGGAACAAACACCACCAGATCCCACTGTGGGAATGCAGATTCTACAAAAAAGCAGTTTATTATATGGGAAACTGCTTGTGTCTTCCATCAAAATGTTTTACTGTATCATCTGCTATCATGCCAATAATTATCTGCAGGACAACGTATCATCAAAGGGGAGGAAAAGTCACCATTAGATCACTGGTGACATTGCTATTATCAAAAAGTACAATGCCAGCTAACTATGGTTTATATTTCCAACCCTGGGCCTCAGGCAAGGAACTTTTCTTGTCTTATCCCCTCATCCAAAGAGTGGGCATCATCTGCAAGTTTTTTATTACATATAATTAAAAAGAAACCCCACAACTATTGTAATGAAACTTTCTGCCTACAGGCTTGGGTTTTATTGTTTTATGCTCTCTTTTTTTCTTTCTTTTTCCTTTTAAGTCAGAAGATGTGAGGGTTCAACGTGTTTTTAAAACAGACCCCATGTAAAGATGGCCATGCCAAATTAGTGAAGATTTTTAAAATACGAGCAGGTTTTATAATGCACCTGGAGAGCTACTGATCGAAATCCAGCAATAAAATTGAGAACGATTCTTCTTTTCAAAGTTCAAGTTGAATTTTTTTTTCCCTAGTCAAAACACAAAGAGCTGAAAATGCAGCAAGTCTGATTACCTTGAGCAAAAGCAAGAGAAAGTTTGACACATTCCACAGTTACCAACAGAAAAAAATATAATAGTGAAATCTGGTTGCACCATTTCCACCTTGCTCATTTTCACCTCCATCTTGGACAACCTTCTCTGTACAGCTTGTTTGCTAGCATGCAGCAAAACTGAACTAGATTTCAACTTTCTTCAGCTCATCAAACCAAGATTCATTTGGAAAATTAAACATCTTAAGAAAAGGTCCTGGACTTGCATTTATGGTGGGTTTTGGTTTTGTTTTATTTTGTTGTCATTTTCTGTCAGTGCTATCTTACATTCATTTCCCTTGCCTCTTGGTTAATCCTGGGTAATACTCGGCTATGATCCAGACTGCAAAGGAAGAGCATTTGATACTTCCACCCTGAGCAGGTATATGGGTACATAGGATACTCAGTCAGCAAGAGTTCTGCCAACACTCATCCCAATGAATCCTACGATGATCTGCATGAGTCCAGTGGAAATAACACACATTTTCTTAAAAAACCATAAAAGTGAAGGCCCTCACCAGTCCAAAATGCAAATAACTACTGCTGCAGTGAAGAGAATGGCACAGCTACCAAAGACAGAACACAGTTTATGTTTGGTTGTTACCTAAATAGCTGGAAGGGATCAATTCTGTCCTTTTCTCTATGAAATATGCGCATTTCAAAACAGAACACTTTCAGAACTGATAAGAATTATTTATAAAACCTAACGTGCAGCATTTCAGTGTTGCTGAAATCAAAAGACAATGCATAAGACCTTAAAGTAGTTGATATCTTCCAGGATTTGTTAGGCTTATTGAGAAAAGAGGTCCCCAAAAAGGTTTTGGGATAAGAAGGAGAACGAAGAGGAAAGCTCCTTATTGAAGCATCTTAAATGAAGACCAGCTGACTAGTAGTTTTAGCCATTTGGGTATATGGGAATATACAAAAATTCCGTAGCATTAACCAAATCTTCATCTTACTGAGAGCTGTTGGCTAGATGGGTTGCCTTTGCCTCTAACCATGAAGTTACCCTGATCTCTAACAGTATCTTCAGCATAAAATATCAGACTTTACTGCCTTTATCAATGTGTGTGTGAGGGAGAGATTAGGTTTTGAGGAAGGGCAAAATAAGAGGGAGAGAAGGAAATGTGAGAGGGAGAAACGGTCTGTGGAAACAGAAAAGGAGCAGATACCTTTTAATGAGAAAACAGGAGCCTTGGAAAGACAGAAAAGAAGGGATAAATGTAAAGCATGTGACAAAAAAGCACTGAAAGCAAACGCAAATTGTATAGAAATCTAGGCAACTACACTATATACAATAGAGCCAAGAAGAGGAAAACATCACTGAAAAGACTGCATAAAACTATTAAAACCTGACACTAAACTCAGATCTTTGAACTACTGCACTCTGTGCTGCTTTAAAAAATCTTAATAAAATTAAGACTACCACTACTGGTTCTGTAACAAATCTTAAAGACCAGTCATCCCTCTGCCTTTTTCTTCTCTTTCCTCCTACAGGAAAAGCAGCTCACCAGTGACCTAGAGCAGGAAGCTGCTGAGAAAACTACCTTCAGGGTCCAACACATTTCTACAGAGATTGAACTGAATGAGGTTCAAATTGAATTAGAAGTCCTTTCTCTATTTGACAGCACACAGTGGGAGAGATATTGAGCTCCCTCTTTGTAACTGAAATACAAAATATTACTTTCATCACGCATCAGTTCCTTTTGGGCGGTTGCTTGACTACAGTGACGTTTTACAAGTGAATAGATTAAACCAATTTTTTTCTAATCAACCCTTTAAAAGTATTATGAATAACCAGGGAAGTCCTTATGGAAAATCTGTGAAGGAACTGTACTTCTCATTATTAATGCATCTAATTTTATAGAAAAGAAACAAATAAAAAAATAATCTTAAGCACAACTCCCCCAATTTTAGTACTGCTTACTGTAAAGTCTGCAGAGAACTTTGCTCCAATTTCCAGACATGACTTTAGCATATATTTGTAATGCAAAACCCAAGCAATTGTATTTTTGTAAGAAGAATCACAATCTTCAATGCTGCTTCAGTAACTGGAAGAGATTCCAGATACTTTAATCATACTTAATTATTAAAGAAGCTTTTCCAGTCATAGCACATCTGCTTACAAAAAGATCACGATGAACATCTCTTTGAGGAGCTGACACAACTGCCAATTTATATTAATATAAACATTTCGGTTTGTGACAGATGTTCCCTACAGCTAAAACACTTCAAGAGTATGTGGATGATGTAGAAAAAGCAGAAACATGAACACAACATGCAGTGGTGGTCTATCCACCACATTTTAGAGCAAAAGGAAATTATAGGTTGCTCTATGCATAGCAATCATAGTCTATCCACAAGGGTATTTATTTATCCTTAAAACAGATAAAACTATTCTATGGTTAAAGGAGAAGCTTGAAGCAGGACCTAGAAACAAAGTAGGCATTTTATTATTTTCAGGAATAGTGGCCTAGGAGACACAGGACACCAGTGTAAAAGGAAAGAAACCATCTACTTCACTTTGCAAAAGGACTCACTTTATTTTTAAGTAACAATGCTGGTATTCAAGATCACCTTATCCCATGACCATCAGCAGGTACCACTGACCTTCACCCAACCCCCAAACACTGCGTTTCTCAAGGATCCATGTGTTTTCCTCCTACCACTTCCTATTGCCAGGTAAAAGTATTAAATTCACTGAGAAGTAGACAAAAGTGTTTAGTAACATACATAAATGAAGGTATAAGAATTTCTCTAGAACTTAGAGAAATTATTTTGCAAGTAGACTCAAAGCTTGATCCACTTCCACAGAATTTATTTACAACAGCTATGCACTTTTTGGGAATTTTGAATGGAAGGACCCCACCTAACACCCACATTCAGAGGTGGAATCCAGTGGCTGCTGTTGCTGAGCCATGACCCTTTCTCAAGTCAGTGTCCAGAGCACCCACTGAAGCACCACCAGAAACCTGTGCCTGAATGTCAGCTAAGAAACAGTGTCCCAAAAAACTTCCTCTGTTTTAAATGTGTACCTGCAGGCTTCTCTCCAACTCTTCTGGAGTGGGCACAGCACTAGGTACAAGGTGTACCTTCCCTCAAATATCCACTTCCAGAAGATGATGTTTAGTTAAGTTAGAGGCAACCCAAATAACTGCTTCAGTGCTCTTTGTAATTTTTGAACTGTCATGGAGAAGTAGTAGAAAAGAAGCAAAATGAAAATCCTTTTTCTTATCTAAACCGTAAGTCTGTGCAATCACACATCACCAATGTAACACAGAATGTAAGAGCACAGAGAAAGCACACAGCACAGCCTGGCTAATTGTGCTAAAAATGTTTTAAATAAATGCAAAAATGAAAGTTTATGTTCTGTTACTACATTAAAAATAGGGCCTATTATCTTTGCATGCAAATATCAAACTATTGTGTCTGAACTTAAAAAACTAGGTCTTCTCTTTACTAATTATATGAGTAGAACAGTGAGCACTTTCAGACTCAAGCAACTTGGAAGCTTCCTTCTGACTGTCTATATCACTTTTATTGCAATTTGGTCTCTATGCTGATCCTTTCACTGTTGCACTGAAGCTTTAAATCCCTCAAAATCTTAATGGTAAATTAAAGGGTTTTGCCAAAACTCCCCAAACTCTTCAGTCAAGATTTTAAACTTGTCATTTTAAAGTAATTTTACTATATGAAAGATATATGAAGAAACAAAAAACCCCAGTATTTTTACATAAGAAAACTGGAAGGGGAGGATATGGAATGACATATTTCAACTCCAATAATTAAGAATGCTGGGGGTGGGGGGTGGGGGGGGGAACGTTTTTTTAACTTAAAAGTCATTCCAGGTTACAGTAAAAGATCTACAAATGGAGTTGCCTTGGAAAGCGATGAGCTTTGAAAGAAGGAGACTACAACTAAAAATGAGGATCCTAATTATACCAATTTTGGCCAAGAAAATGGGACAGTAGTTTTGCAGGTGTGCAATTTCACATGCAAAGGAAGCATCCTTATTACTAAATGGCATTAAGAACTTTATTCAAACACTAAATTATAGGTGTAGACATTAAAGCATTTTGTTAAACTATCCAGTATTTAAAACTGCATGTGATCA